AAAGTGAAGAGTAACTATTTCAAGAAATCAACATTAAGAATTCTACCTGCAAGATTTTTGACTTTTCAGTTTTACACAGATTTTCTGTTTTTACAGCACTTTTAATCTTTTCTTCACCAATCTTGACTGCCTGCAGTGCATGGATTTTTCATTTTCACGTTTAGGTGAGCGGCGTGAATGCGCCCTATTTTTTTCTACAACGGTGATTGGCCTGAACGGCAAATTTTGAACAAACAGGTAAAAACTCCTTGTTACACCAGAAGTGAATGGAAGTAAAATGGAAAACAGGCAAAAATGCAGCAGAGTAGAAGAATCTTTTCTCCCCCCAAAAAAGTGCTTTACAAGCAGTTCAAAATAAATTTAGGCAAGTGACAAATTTTCAGCATTTTTATTTTTGCAAGAAAAGCTCGAAAAGTCTGGTGAAAAATTAAAAAAAAAAAATAGTTGTAGGATATTTATATATTAGGATATTTTGATGCATGAGATGTGAAAAATTAGCAGTGCCCTCGCCGGGTCTCAAACCTCCCACCTCTTGAATACATGCTGAGTGAGCTGACCATTACACCACGAAGGCATGCTAGGAAGGCGGGAGAAATACGTTATGTACTTCCCTTTTTAAAGAGTGACTGGGGATTAGGAGACCCAATTACGAAATTCTGGTTGTGGAGAACCATTATCCACCACCTTTTTTTAGTTCGGATAGAGACATTAGGATGTTTTGATGCAGGAGACATCAAAAATGAGAAATGCTCTCACTGGGACTTGAACCTCGGACCTCTCAAATACATGCCAGTGTGCTGACCATTACACCATGAAGGCATGCTAAGAAGGCAGGAGAAATACCTTATAAAGTCTCTGTGATCAGCAGTTTTACTCCTTTGCCATCAATGTTCCTGCATTTGAAACTTGTATGATGTTATTAAATATGCTTTGTTCATATTTTATTACACTTATCTGTGCTACATATTCAATCCTTAGTCAGATTAGTTATTATCATGTAAAGTGTATATTGTCTGTATCATGCTAAAATACCTGCAAAACGAAACTTCTTTCCACAGTTAAATGGTTTCTAAAATTCTGATGTATTCTGAGCTTATTTTTCAAAAATTAAATTTCTGCTTAACTTTCCATTATACATTCCAAGTACTGACTACCAATATTATATATATATATATATGTAATAATAAAATGCCATACTCAAGATTGCACTTCATTTTTAATGGCGACAGTATCTTATTTCAAAGTACGTGGAATTAAATCCGTAGCCCCGTGGTCAAGTTGTTTTTCCCGCCTTTTCTACACATACAGTTATAGAATGTTATGGAGATATTTAAAGCGAATTGGAATGGCTGACGAGACTGACGTCATTTCTTGGAAGCTCCGCCTTTCCAGAGGCTATAAAAGGACTCGCAAAGGAATATCGGGGTCTTTTCTTTAATGTAACGATGCAGTAAAATTCATACAAAAAGTTATTAGTAATTCTTTTTTATTTACTCTGGAAATATGATTTTTGTAACTGCTATTTCTCCTGACCAATAATAAATGGATCCTCTTTTTTTAAACTTATCGTCTGATAATTTAAGCTATGACTACATCTATATTTCTTCACCAATCTATTTAGTCCGGACAAAAGCTGGTACATCACACACACACATATATATATATATATTGCTAGTTATCTCTTTATTCATTACTTTATATTAGTGTTCAAAAATTGATCAACTTGACGACTTTCGAAATTTTCAAAACTGAATTTTGAAATTTTGAATGTTCCATATAGTGCTATGTCATCAAATCTCGTTATTTTTAATATTTTTTTAACTGTCAGCTAAATTTTTTAGTATTATGTATTTCTAGATGAGTAGATTCGTACATATTTTAGGAAAATTGAGAGTTCAAGTCTGAAAGACCTTCACTGTAAAATTTAAATTAAACGGAAATAAATGCCCTTAAAGTGGCTGGTATACATATTAAAAGTAAATGCTGGGAAAGTAAGCACTATGTTAAAATTAAATACTCTGGAAATAACCTGTATTTCTGAAAACATAAATGCATCAGTCAGTACATTTTCACACCAGCGATCCCTACACATTTCAAAAATATAAAAATAATATATGCATTAAAACATTTTAAGAGCATTTTTGAAGATAGAATTACTGAATAAACTCCATGGGTTGCAAGCCAGTGACTGTCAACATATAGGTTACTTGTGACCTATTGCTTTTGCCAATACAAATAAATTTCTGTTTAATTAAACAAATCTTAAATATATTAAACTGCAGTATATAGATGATTTATGGGTTGATCACATATGACATCAAACTAGGATATCAGTGATTAAAAAATATGACAGGCATTGTGTACTTCCGTTTAGTTTTATTTTTAAAGTGTTGAAATTTATTGTCCATATTGGTGACTTACAGTTTTACCACCAGTGACCATCAGCCTGATCACAGGTTACCAACAAATGGATGCTCGTTGCTTATTATATGTTTTTGAGATGGTGTGGTAAATTTAGGTAGATCATTACAATTGAAATGATGCCACTGATGACTTGTAGAGTGATGGTTAATGGTAGTCAAAAGAGTATGTTAGAGGTGTAGTTCAGTTAAGCAATATTTTATTTTTAAAATAAGATTAGATTGAAAGATATCAATGCCTCGTAAGTCTGCAGATGTTCCGTGTCTTTTACATTGACTGTCACTTGGGCAACCCACATTGGGTAGTGAACAATAGGTAGTCAATCTGTAGGTAGGCAATAAATTTAGATACATTGCTTAAATTAAATTGAATGGAAGGACACCAGTTACAATTATCATGTCACAGAGTGCCATCAAGACCTTTGCATACTGCTGACTATGGGTGTGGGATAGCGCATTGTTTGGTATAGTGGGAAAACTTGCCGAAGCAAATGATTGTGTAATGTAACTACAAAATTTTGTAAAGATTCCATTAATCTTCCAGCACACGCACTTGGCAATTTTTAATGAGCATGCGGGCATCATATTTTTTACAACATCCATTATTTTACCGTTTTTGGCATGAAAAATGACAGAAATGAGTGACTATTGATAATAAATTTGTTAAGAAATAAAATATTAATCTTATTATTGCAAAATACAAATGATATCACATTCAAATATAAGTAAATTATTTTAAGTTTTTATGTTATTGAGATGGAAATGCAATAATGTATTTCATTATAGAAAAATTTTTAATTTATTATTTAATAATTATATTTTAAAATCAAAGCTAATTTTAATATTCATCAAAGACAAGTATAGACAATAAAAAGGAAAACACCTTGGTAGTAAAAAAAAGTAATAGCGTCATTTACTTCTGCAAGGAAATTTACTTCTTATTGGTTACAAAAACACACTTTAAACTAACTTTAATGTTTTTATTTATTTTTGAAAAATAGAAATGAAAGAAAATAAAGAATGGAAATCGCTATTGTTATCTCATCCAAAAGTTTCCTTTTCTTCATCAGATAATTCTTGAAGAATCCGAGCAAAATCAGCTGGTTGCACATATTTTTTTGCCATCAAACCTGATATAAAATTTATAGAGCCAAAATTTATTCAAATTAAAATAATACACAGCAGTTAATAACACAAAATTACAAAATATTTGAGAAAAAAATATTTTCCAAATTTTAAAACACGACCATGCATGTGTCTTAACTTTTATGAAAAAGCTGCCATATATTACAAAAGCCCAGTTAAAAAAAAAAAAAAAAAAAGTCAAAGGATTTCCTGTTGGTACATTCCATGATGTGGGGAAGGGTAGAAAGGAGGAAATAGAGATGACCTTCAGACGTCTCAGCTTCGATATGCGAAAAATGGGCATTAAAAACTGAATTTGTCGTAAATTTTGCACATACGCGCATGCTGGAAGGTTAAGGGCATTTAAAACAGTGAAGTGCATCATAATGTTAAGATAATATGTTTCTTGCCCTATTTTTTATACTTTTGAGAAACACTATTATGTATTTTTCATCTTATTTTTAAGGTGCACAAAAATCATGAGAGATTACTGATTATGTACTAATGATGATTATAATGACAAAGCCATCAGTTTTAAAAAAAATTCACTTAAGTCACTTCCTAATTTTAAAATAGATTGTTATATTTCTGTGTCTTCATTTGTGAATATTAAGTAGTGATAGCTTTATACATAATTGACATGCAGTTTTTTCAGCAATTATCAGGTTAAAACTTTGCACCTGTTTTTCAGATTTTGCAGTTTTCTGTAGCTAAGCATTGCAATTAAGGTACAGAAAACTACTAATTTTGCTATAGCTTAAATCTTCCAGTTATACTTATTTGATTATAATACTCAGGTTTGATATACTGTGCATACTATGATAGAAATTACTTGTGCATTTTCTTCCCAGCTCCACTTTAAAAATTATAATCTATTAATTGAATCAGTAAATTCCATAAAATATGCTTTTTCTTGATTATTGTTTCAAATGTTTAGCATGAGCTGCATAAGCTCTCTTATTTTCTGTTTTGATTTATATATTTAAATTCTTCTGTTAATTTTGTTTTTAGTAACTAATTCATTTTTCACTTAGATCATATGCCATTGTTTAGTAGCTATGAAAGATTAAAAATAGATTATTCACTACAAATAAAATTTTAGAAATGGATTATTATTACATAAGTATAGAGTTTTAATGCATTTTTAATAATTGGTAGCATTATCGACATAATATCAGTTTGTTTTTGCTAATTTCTATTTCTTGTTAATAATTTTGTATTAATTTCAAATCTATTTTTCTATTAATTTTTATTGACATAATGTCAGTTTGTTTTTGCTAATTTCTATTTAATAATTTTCTATTAATTTCTAATCTATTTTTATTAATTTTCATTCTATTTAATAGTAGATATTTATTAATTTCTATCTTGCATATATCATAAAGTATAATACTAATTAGTGTGAGATTTATGGATATACACTTTACCAAAAATTTTTTTAATTCTCTTTTTCAGGTTTTGCTATCTACATGGTTGTAATACTCTTTTCATCAAGCTTTCTGATTGTGTTTTGTGTACCTAAGTATGGATCCTCAAATGTTGTGGTGTATATCTTGATATGTTCTGTTATAGGATCATTATCTGTTATGGAATGCAAAGGCATAGGTCTGGCTTTGCGTGAAACCTTTGGTGGTGGGAAAAATGAATTTTCTAATTGGCTTACTTGGTTTTTTTTAATAGCTTTGATTATATGTATCACAGTGCAGATAAATTATTTGAACAAAGCCTTAGATACTTTTAATACATCAGTTGTTACACCTGTATACTATGTCTTTTTTACAACATTCGTTATTTGTGCTTCAGCTATTCTTTATAAAGAATGGGTTAATATGGTTGCTGAAGATATTGTTGGAAGTATTTGTGGATTTTTAACTGTTATTTGTGCCATCTTTTTGTTGAATGCATTTCGTGAATGGGATATATCACTTGGTAATATAAGTAGTCTTCTTCAAAAGAAAGAACACCCAGTCAGCAACAGCCATAGTCAGGAAAATGTCAGTACTTCTATTTTAATGGATCGCCATTCACTTCTGAGTAATGAGACTTCAGGTTTATTGGAAAGGCATTCAAGGCAAAACAGTCTTGAATCTCGATCTTTCTCAGCCTTACAGAATGCATGTGAAGGGTCATATAGTTCATTAATGTCTTTTACAGGCAAATAGGTAATTAATCTTCATGTTCCTAGACATATTGGAGAATTCAGATTAATTCCTTTCATCTAAATCTATTAATATACATGAACTTTGTTAACAAACATGAAAATTGAAACTGAAAGTTGTTTTCTGTGATTATGTTGTTCTTAACAGAGCTGAATTACATTTATAAAATGACCAAAACAGTAATTTGTGATGTAAATTTGAAAAATATTATATGTAAATTTGCAATCACATTTACTTCAACGACTGACATTTTTATTCATTTAAGGAAAATTTATTGTAAATTTTCTTTTTATTGTTAGTCATGTGTCAAAATAATTTATAAATTTATTATTACTACACTGTGAACATTTGAGTTTAGTAGATTCACACACTGTAACCTCGCCAGTTTCTTTAAAGAGCTTAGATTAAACTCAAAACAGATTTAGGAATATGTTAAATAAGCTGTAGTATGGCCTTTATGTCTGGGTTCTTCTTTATTTATATTCCTCACATGTACATTTGACTTATTTCTACTATAATGAAGGTCATGCATCATGAGCAGTAACAAAATAATTAGAAGCAAATGTGCTTCATTTTGAAAAATTGCAGACTCTTATATACCTGTGGAATTTATAAATGATATTCATAGGCCGAAGGATTGCATTTAGGGCTGTTTAAATTGAGAATTATTGATTTGTTGTTTAGATAAGTATTAAGTATATATGGGAATTTATTTACTTGGGATTCGACCTAAAGCATATGCAAGAAAGAGAGATGAGTATAGGAAATAATTAATATAATTCAGGCTTAACTTCTGCAGTGTAAGACAAAATTTCAACAACATGTCTGTATAGTGGTTGATAGCCAAGCATTAAGCATATGCTAAACCTAGTTGCTGATTCTGAGAAATTTTAAGTTGAGTCAACATAGCAAACTGCACTGTTCCTTAACTGAGCTTATTATTTTTTTTTTCAGGCTAGTATTATTACAGCAATCGTATTAAACATAACGTTTGAATTTTTATTATGTTGTAAAGCATTTCTAATTTTAGAGATGCAGCAGGATCTGCAAAGCAAAAGTATGTTTCAGTGTCGATTAAGCAAAAAGTGGAATTGCTGAAAAAAATAGAAGCTTTTTGAATTTTTTTGTGGATTTTTACATCCTACTCAATGATTAATAGAAAAATCATTCAATATGCTGAAAGTGACCATCATGACAAAATGACTGAATGGTTGAGATCATGTCACAGTGACGGTGGATGAGATAGTGTAGCAATATCAATGGCTTAAGTCAGATTATTTCATAAGGAAATGAACTTATTTGACAGGTTAGGTAGTCAAATTTAAAATATGAAAAAGCTTCAGCTGAATTATTTCCAGATGTATTGGTTAAACTCATTAATAGTGAAAGGTTATCTCCAGAACAAATTTACAGCACTAATGAAGTAGTCTTTTCAGCCAATATGTAATCAAATGCATTGGAAACCCTGCAGAAAAGGTCCCCAACTGGTGTTAAAGAATCCAAAACAAGACTAACAATTTTGGCATATGTAAATACTGCAGAAATGTTCCCCCCCCCCAATGGCAGATTGTGAACAATTACAAATGTAACCTAGTCCGTTAATCTATACAAGGCCGGATGTGGTGGTCTCTTTATTATGGAGGCACCTAATAGGTAGATCACATCGCCTTTCCTACTGTAGGAATGTATAAACATAAAATTTCTGTAATCAGAATAAATGCATGTCCTCGGGTATTTGGGGTCATCCAAGAAATTTCTGCAATTTTTTATGATAAATACAAATAAAGCAGTACAATAACATAAAAAAAAATTGTGGAGTCGGATAAGCACCATTTTGTTCTGTGATTATTTTCCATTTCTCCAGCAGCTGGAAAATTCCTTTAAAAAATTCATTAGATTTATTTATAAAAAAGTTATTGAAGTGCTGTTTGATAGTCTCCAAAGAATTTTAAAGTGATCTCATGAGATTAAAATTCCAGCATGCAAGGTCTAATGAATATAGGAGATGACAAAAAATCCCAGCCATATTCAATTAAGTCTTTGTCTGAGATTCATGGAAATGGGGGATCAAGTGTTGCCATAATGGAAGACAAGACTTCAACCATTGGTCAATTATGGGCATTTTGTTTCAATTTCTGCTTTTAAAACCTCAGAACAGTATTTTTCCGAATTTATAGTCTGATTTGGTGAGAACAATTCATACTGTACAACTGCTTTGTAGTCTGACCACAAAAAAAGCCTCCATCTCAATGTTTATAAAGGAGGTTCTTTTGGCTCATCCCATGATCTTTTCCCTCCAACATTATTGTATAATATTCATTTCTCTAATGAGCTGTTTGAAGAAAGGAACTTCGTTTTTTTTTTTTTTAAAACAAAAAACCACGCAAACTGCAAGCAAGCATATTCTGCTTTGTTACAATCATAGCAGATTGTGCCTAGTCTTCTTCAAATTATCATGTACTGCACTTTTTGGGATATTTTGAGTGTTGGATAGTTCCTGAAATGTATAACTTGGATATTCAGTGATAACTTCTTTTCATAGGTGATAACTTTGTTTACAGAGGATGGTCATCCAGAGCAGGCATCATCTTCAAGGCTGAAATTTCCAGGCTTTTTTAAGTTTTCAAACCACTTTTGAACTGTGTCATCAGAAACAGCACTTTTTCTATATATACCACAAATTCCAAAAACAGTCTGACTGTATTCTTTATTTATTTTTTTTTAACTTTAAAAAAAAAAATAATGTGACAAAAATGAAGTTCTGGATTCTCCCTCCATTCTTAGCACTCTGAGACAAAAATTATGCTACAGCAGATAAGTAGATGAAAATGAATTTTAGGGGTTCTTTATTCTTAGCCCTCAGATGAAACAAATTATGCCATACTGCATGCTAGAATTATGCAGTGTGAGCAGAAAATACTGTATTCAAACATCTATAATGAAGGTCATGCATCATGAGCATTAACAAAATAATTAGAAGCAATCAATAATTAGAAATAATTAGAAGCAATGCTTCATTTTGAAAAATTGCAGACGTATGAATATACCTTTAGAATTTCCGTAATCATAAAACGCGAAATTTCCATAATCAGAATAAATGCATTTTGCACAACATGAGCAGAAAAGACCATATTTAAACAATTGCTCTGAGCAGTGTCACTCCGTATCAGCAGAAATAGTTAAAAGAAAACATACTTTGATTTGAAAAACCACACAACTTTCCGGATGACCTAATATTTTAATATAAATTTTGTAAGGTCATCAGAGGATGTCTGCAGTTTAAAATGCTTGGCATACATAGTTAATGGCCAGCTACCATATTTCATGATGCTAATGATATCCAGAAATCTAAAGAATTTCTGATATTACAAGCAAAAGCTGAAATTTTCCAATTTTTAGACTTAGTAAAGAAATGTCGAAATGTGGCTAACTAAAGATGATATAACAGAAGTTTTACATTCTGCTGGTTATGCCTCAATCATCAGTCTACTAATGGACAGTGAAATTTGTATTATTGTTCTAAATCCAGAAAATATCTCTACCAGTAATGAAGGAAATGATGAATAGGTTATTGAGAATGAAAAATCTTTACTGACATTTTAATGGGAATTCTGGACTTCTCAGTTACACTGTGGAACTTTGCAACTAAATAAGAAATTGTCTACCTGTAAAATCAAAGAGAAGGTATTAGCACAAAAAAAAAGCAACTTACATTTGCATTAAAAGACAGGTTTAATAGCACTAACCGATAAATACTGAGTTTTCTTTGGGGGGGGGGTAAGTTTTAACTATATCTCAAAAACATTTCACACAAATACTAGGATATCATGATTGCATTGCATGAGATTTTGTGTGATGGAAAACAACATGCAGAATTTCCAGCAGAAATAATAATAAAGAATGACGAATATTTTTTTCATTAAGAGTTATTGAAAATACATATTTTAAAAATTATTCTTTGATAACTTCCTGAGTTTTAATTCTTAACAATTTCCCCTTCTGTGAGCTTCAGGGTGTCAAAAATTATATATACATATGTAAGATATAAAATATGAAAGAAAACTAATAACTTAGCAATAGTCCTTTTAATTCATTTTAATTTGGCTAAATCTCCTTCCTGTCTTTAAACTAATATATGAACCTAAATTGCATCCTGTGAAAATTAGTCCATATTACATAATAATAGCATTGCAGATACATTTTATCCAATGAGAGTTTATCTATCTGTTGAAATTTTTGTGACTGAAAATAGTTAAGAACTGATTTGTCTCCAGTGATTTCTTCGAACCATCAAATGTTCTTATTATTGTAAATCACAATGAGAAGTAAATTTCATATTATTGGTAAAAAAATTCAGTACTTGCATATTATCTCATCAACTGGCTAAGTAACACTATTTAGCATCAATTATGGATAATCATGACCTTTAAAATTCCACAGTAACGTTTGGTGATTAGCGAGGGTTGCCGAAATTTCCACCAACAGTCAAAGGGATAATATTTAAGTACCAGAAATTAACAAACTTCTCTGCTCGTGTTAATTGACATGACAATAATTAAAAAATGTATCATTGCAAATTATAAATTTGTAGTGTCTGAGAAAGGCTTGTCAATAACATCTATATTTTCAATGCAGAATTCTGAAAAAAATAACTCATGTCCTTTGATGATAACCTTAATCACTTCATAGCCCTCAATCCAATTTTATTTGAGAAGTGTAACTACAGGAAATATTACATACTAAAGTATGAATCTCTCTTTAACTTCAAATAAAAGATGCATGTAATAGTTTGTACAGTTGTGCTAGAAAATTCCATGTTAAAATAGTCATATATTTCTTTTAGAGAAAGGCATCATAACAATGTTTTAATAGAATCGTGAGGTAATTCATCACTTTGAAGGTATGTTACTACTCGAAAAATACGTAAAATAAAACAAAAAAATATATCGTTACATAGACAAGCTGCACTTGTCCGAAACTGTCAGAAAGGGGGGAAAAAGTGGATTTTGATGGGATAATAATGGTATCAAAATTTTCAGTTTTCATTTATGATACAGCCAGAGCCATTGTAAAACATTAGGCAACTCTAGCATTGTGTAGTGATGGCAGATTAAGAAGGGTGTAAAAATCGAAAAATATTATGTATATTTCATATATTTTGTTAATATTTTATTAAGTTCAATTTCATAGAAGCATAATACTTATGTATAAAATAATAAATATATATTTATTCATACCTATATTTCTTCTGTTTTTCTCATATAACTATATACTATCTTGAACTTTTACTTGGATTTGTTATTCAAAATGAGTTAACATCAGAAAACAAAGAAGAAATAGTAAGCACATTTAAAAAAATTAATGTTTTGCATTCATACCAATTATTTAAAACTAACTCTCGGAATCGCACAATTCAGTAGAATCACTTCCTAAAATTCTTTTAATTAGGTTAATTGCCTATTGATCCAGAATTGTAATATTTATTAATACAATTTATTGCTATTTAGTAGCTAATTTTAATGCATATTTACACAGCAAATGCGTTCTTAAAAAGTTTTAAATCCTACACTTTGAACAACCCCTTGTAATTAAAAAAGTGTTATGAAAGTGTAGTTTGTCAATTCAGTTATGATGAATCTCTAAAATACAAAAGCATTTCAGAATGATAACCTCAAAGGGTAAAAGAAATTAAACCTCTTTCACATGTTACCTTATGACTTTGATAAGCTAATTTGGTTGGTTATGGTTTAAAAGTTGCTGTTTATTTATTTTATGTGTGCATGCACAAGTCGTGTAATATTTTTATTATATGTGAGGATTCAGCAAAGATTTGGATGATTTTGAGATCAAAGCTGTGATATTAGCTCCACTATGCACTGAAGAAATAAAGATATGTATTAAAAAAAATTTTATATGTATTTTGTTTCATGGTTATCAAAATATTTCAATTTAGTTATAAATGATGATGCTAAATGGAACACATTATATCTTACAAATGTAAGTCTTTTAATTTCAAACATAAAATTTTATAATTTTGCTATTTTGGTATAACACTTATCAATAAGTGAGTGGATCCCCGAACTCTGGTGGACTGACCTGCATTCAAATCCCAATTATAGGAAAGCTTTATTATGTTTTTTCCCAACCACAGAAAGTTTCTCCCTGAACGTAACGCTTTAGAGACAGAACTTGAGTACTTTGCATTAATCGGATAACTCAATAAAAATTTTAACTGGCTGAAATGAATATTACATATTCACAGAATATCATCCTGAAAGGCATGTCTGTTCTTCGGTAGTCTTGCATGTTGTGCTTTAATTAATCTAATCCAATCATTATCAATACATTTTTGGAAACTTCATATAAATCTTTTCACTGGCTTTTTCATGAACAAAATGACAGGCTTTAGGTCTGTAACAGTCATACATGGTAGGTTTTCAAAAGTCAAAATTGTGTGAGAATACAACCTTTTGATAACATCTGTATTTTCTTTAAATACTTAAAAATGACTTAAAAAATTCATGGTTTTGTATTATATTAATAATTTTGTTTTAAAATACAAAATCTTTTTACATGTTCCTCCATTCCCTGTATTTCCTTATTACTAAGTTGAGTCAAACAGCTGCTGTATTAATTTTCAGCTGTAAGATGATTATCACCAATAGCTACTTTCATTGACTAGCGTTTGTAGCATTTATTTCATTGGGTCTTCATGTTCGGCAAATAAGAGACGTTCATCATTTTTAAAGCAGCGTCTTTAATTTACATATGTCGTATAAATTTTGCGAGCTCTTTATTACTTACTCTCCATTTGAGTTAGTTCTTTATTTTAAAATACCAGTTGAAATTTTTTTTCAGGCAAACTGGGAAAAGGACAAGAATGTTCTTTGACATAACCATTTAAAAACATCTCCATCTCCTGACACCCATTGTCTGCATCCATCTTTATCACCATAATATCAATCAGCAAATTGACATTTCTTTTTAACACATCATATGGATGATATAATGCAAGATTTACAGAAGAAAGAAAAATCGATTCAGCTTACTTTATACTCTGAATGACAGTGAGAATGAAGGCCTCTGTACTACATTACTGAAAAGGGCTTCAGAAATTGTCAAAACTTAAAACATCTATCAAAATGAAGTATATCTATCCATTTTTTTAAATGCTTAGCACTTTTGAATCCAGAACTAAAAATCAGCTCTGGTGTTAAAGCTTGGTGTAAGAAGCGTTAGAGATTACTATTATATTCTATTAATCCTCCAATGAGAAACTTTTAACAACTAAAATGTTAGTATACACATTGGGTCCAGAAAATTCCTCACCCAGACTCTGACAACTATTAGTTGTACTTCCAGTTGCAAAAATGTTTTAAGTGATAAAAAAATTCATGGTTTTGTATTATATTAATAATTTTGTTTTAAAATACAAAATCTTTTTACATGTTCCTCCATTCTCTGTAATTATATTAAGGAAAATCCTGTAAAAAATAAAACCCAAAAAATTTTACTCCACTATAATAAATATTAACCGAGATATTTTATATTAATATCAAGAATCATATGCAAAGGCTGTACACAAATTGAAGTGCAAAATGTTTGCATTTGTTTAAGTTAAAATATTTTGAAAAAAGGTTTCTGATGTTGAGATTCCATGGAGAGCATTTTTATGTAAATTGTGAAAAACCAACCCCAGAATATAAATTCAAAATGGTGTCAATTATTGCTAATTCTGATATTAAATATCTTGGTCAGTTTTTGCATTATAAGAGTAAGTGTTTTAATTTTATAACGAGTACAAAATTTTCCTGAACATAAATTATGAGTGAATATATAAAAAAGTTATATTGTGTAATATTTACAAAATCAATGTTTTTAAAAATGCCCCAACATTAATCTTTGTATAATTTAAAACATTTTTGTAACTGGAAGTATACATTTGCAAAAATAAAGATCAGGAAAGAACTTTTGTGGAAATTGTGTATAATATATATGTGCTTTACAAAAGGAGAGCTTGCATAAAATTAGTTTATTAGAATTTTTTCTTTCCTGAGTAATATATGAAATTCAAAATGCTTGTTTGTAAACTGCACTTAAAATTCTGAATCTGTATTACATTCATCAAAAAAACACATAGTGCTTTTAGTACATTTATTGTAAACAGATAGTTACAAGCAAAATTAAAATATAAACATTTTTTACACAACAAAGTGTAGTCTAACAAATTTTTAATTTAAAATTTTGTCAGTCAGAAATAGCTTGTACAAAATTTTATTTGAAGTCAAAAGATCATATAAAAACAGCATGACTGAGGAAAAGATCCTTGAAAGTGATTGGGCAAAAAATCAATCGTGACTAAATTTTTAAAAATAAAAAATTCTAACATTATGAATTGCAATAACTAAGTGCAACTTCGAAACAATCGTTATATCAAGAGAAGTATTTATTTTCAACATATTTATAACTTCCAGAAAGAATATATGTATTTATCATTTTACTGATGTTTGTATAATAATAAAATCCTGCTTAAAGGTTATATACACTGGTGTGCAAAAATTAAAAATGAGGCAGAGAAATTACTGTAAAAGTGAAACAAGGCAACAGTATGGGCTGAAAGACCAAGAAATATATTCGGGACCTGCACAGTAGGGCATGCACGTAGTGATTTCAATGATGTCAAGCAGCTACTATGTGATATAGCCAATCTAGGAGACATCATAAGGATAACTTTAGCTGAGGTCGTGTCATTCAGAAGTTGGAAGAAGGTTGAAGTGTGACAAGTGTAGCAGGAGTTCGGCATCGCTAGCATCATCGTTACATGAGCTTAGAGAGCATTTCAAACAGCAGGAATATTTAGCTATTCAAAGACTCAGCAGTCATACATCAGCAACAATGGCAGTGGATGGTCAGTAAATTGTCTATTGGGAAGAAGAGACAGGTAAGCCCATGCAACAGACTGCTGAACACTAAACATTGTGTTTTAATGTGCCTAAAAGAGTGCACAAACACGACCCATATGCACGATCACCAGTACAGTATGTGCACTTGTCAGGGCCATACAAAAACTCTTACTAAGAACACCAAAATACTGTAGGCCTGACCTCCAGTGAAGTACCTGCTCACACCGGAATACTGGATAATGAAATTGCAGATGCAATAGCCAAAAGAGCAGCAACTGTCCCCCACGCTTGCACACTTGACGTGCCTCTCCCGGGCTCTTTCGGGAGATTTAACTCAAACGTTGGCAACATCTGTGGAAGACAGAGACCACCGGCAGAAGAGTTCACAGATTTTTAAAAATGTCTGCCGGCTTCTAAAAAGTGGTTAGCCTCACACTCAGTTTCTAACAGGGAATGGTCCCTTCATGACTTACCTGTATCGTTTCAGACGACGGGAAAACGACCATTGCTCGTGCGGGATGGCAGGAGATCTGGACCACTATATATTCGCTTGCAGTGAAACTGCCGAACATCATATTAGGCAACAAGTAGCGGGCCACACCCATGCATTTGCCGAAGCTACTTCAAAAAATCACTATGCATTGAAACGCATATGCGATTGATTAAATATTTCCCGCAAAATCTCAGAGAGGCTGGAGTAATTCTCAACTGCCATCCTCGTCACCAGCACAGCCCCCGTATACTCTGAACCTGTAATGAATTTATTTTATCTTGAATTAGATTTTTCCGTTTTTCCCCTGTTTATACTTATCTCCTTGAACAGTAAACTCTGAACTGTGATCCCTGAATATGCCTTATTGTATGTATTATTTCACTGTTTGGCCTTATTTATTTATGCATTATTTTGCTTTTTAGTATTTTTAGTATTGCTATTTAGTATTTTGCCTTATTTTAGATATTGTTTTTACTGTTTTCTCAGTCACTTTGTTAATTGCTCATATATTGCACTGTAATCATTTATTGTTCACGTTGTGGATGTCTTTTGTAACCCTCTATCCATAACTCTGTAAATATGTAATTGAAATTGTTGTTCTCACCCACAATGCACCCTTGTTCCATTACTGCATTATCGTCTCGTCATATGTATATATAAATGTTGATAAAGTTATTTCTGTCAGTGGGGCTACCTGGCCGATATGCTAACTACCCAGTGGACTGGCTGCCTTGCTGTCGGTGAAAAGAAAGTATAATATGTGCCATTAACATCTATTCACCAGAGATGCTGGGAACACAAGAACGACACAATATGAGTGGGGTCAAGTGCTGTTTACAGATGAGAGCCAATTCAGTCTGATGAATGATTCTGGGTATATATATATGAACAGAAGGAAGCATGCAATCAGTCCTGCAACATCATCAAAAGAGGCAGTTTTGGAGGTGTCAGAATTCTCGTTCAAATTAATTTCATGCTAGGTAGTGAGCATCTCCCAGAGTTTCAATCACTGGTGTCTGCTATTGTACAGAGGTTCTCTTACTTTAAATGTCTGCTTTGAGGTGCTGTGAATGTGTGCCTCCTCTTCAAGGATAAAAATGCTACACTTCATCGTACACTACTAATCACAGAGCATTTGGAGTGTTAAAGATGAACCTAAATCCCATAGTATGTGGGATCTTCTTGGAATATACTCAGTAACATATGACCAGTCGCCAGCAAGATATCTGCAGCTGAAACTGGCACTATAAGAAGCATGGGCCACTATGATTCAATAGCTACTTGATAACCTAGTCCTCAGCATGCACAGACATAATTTCTGTATTGCACTCAGGGGTGATAATATCCCTTGTTAAAGATTGAATTTTTATCGCTATGCTGTTGTCACATGTATGTATCAATCTTCTCCCTAGTTGTGCTTGAAGCCATCTTTTCAATAAAGTGCCTTACTTTCATTCATTGTTTGGATGGTTTGGGTCTCTTGTCCCATGTGGATCTTATGGTTTGAATTGGGTTGGTGTGTAACACTTCTGCATATCATTATATTTAAAAATCCATCTCATCCTTATATATTTTGGACACCAGTGTATTATGGAAGCTGACTGAAATTTGAGACAGATTATCTTATTCAGAATCATGTGACATGTCTTGTGCCATTTTCTTTTTAAAATTTCACTAAATTAGACTTATCAGTGTTTTATAATTAATTCAAAAGTATAAAATGGACTATTTTATAACACCATCTTTTAGCATTGTAGGTGTGATCGTTTCCCCACTTTCTCATCTAATGAGGATCTCTTCTGAAATTCCTTTCCAATGTTCAGAATAAAGAACAAGAAAATCACATATTGCTAATTTTAGTGAATTAAAAGTATTGACAGACTGATTTCACACAATACTGCCAGGGTTAATAAAAATCATACGACTTTTGAAAAATAGGTAAAAAGTATAAAATGAATTTTTACAGAGAAAGCTAACACATTTGAATATTTTGAAAGCATTACATTACAAAAATCACTTAATTTAGATTAGACAAGCAAAATTTTAACATAACTACAAAGCTCTTCTAGCTTTTGCTAAAAAATTGCTCAGAATTTCTCCTTTTATTTAATGCTAAATATCTTGTTTAAATTTCAGAATCAAGATTATTCATCATTAAAGGCAGATATTTTAAAACATTACAGAGATAGGAAAAAATTCTTATATTTTTTTAAAAACAATTTTGATACACTGGTATTTTAAAGATATTGTAACATTTTCTACCATCCTATTTACTGCAAATTCTATATAGCAACAGGATTCAGTTGTTTCACATCTGAAATGTATTTTTGAAAAGTATATTTATGTGTCATGCATTGAGAAGCAACAGATGTATAGTTTTTGTTATAAAATAATATGACAGTAAAATACTTCCCAAACTGTGAAGTTTACAGACTGCCACTTTTAAATCAATAACTGCTTTAAATTATTAAGCACTGGCTAACAACTCTAGAACGCTGAATCAATTTTTTTTTTTTTTTTTTTTGTAGAACAAATGATTTAAAATTACCAAACTTGATTGAATAAAAGAATCAATAGTGAAATAAAGAGAATAAATGTCTGCACTGCTCTTGATATTGGCATGATTCATGGCAGTTAATTGTACTGTCATTCACCTGCTTCTGTCATAAAAATACTGAATTGTGCAGTTATAAAAAATATATGATTTAGGTAAAAAACTAAACAAGAATATGTTAGATCAGATAATTGCATTAAAAATGCCTCTTGACTTGTCAGAATTTTGATATAAAAAAATTCCAAAAACACAAATATATATTAAGCAATGTAAATTTTATATACTGTATAACGAACAAAGGAAGTATGTGTGTGGAACAAACATGTGTAATTTGCTTGCATAAATCAGTACCAGGGAAGCTGGATTTTGTTATTTCATACAAAACTATTTAATTTTGCAGGACACATAATTATACCGTCAAAGAAGGAATACGACAAAGAAGCCAACTAGGAATTCTGTTCCTGTTACCAAAAATGTTAACAGGAATTTAATCTACAATATAATATTATTTTGTTTAAATTTCAGAATCAAGATATTCAAGGACTGTTAAAATGAATGGCAGGCAATTTAAAACAGAGGCAGAGGGGAAAAACTAATATCATTTTTATAAAAAATGCAATTTTAATATACTGTTGTTTTAAAGATAATGTATCAGTTATTATATTTTCTAAAAAAATAGCCATGAAATTTACAAATCTTTGATCTTAAAATGACCAAACTTGATTGAATAAAAAATTACCAGTGCAAAAAGGAAAAATGCAATAAAGAGAATTAATGTCTGCCACTTTGAATTCAAATTACCAAAATGGCATTTTTAGAGCCTCTAGGAAAAAACTGCAAAAAGTTTTACTGCTCTTGATGTTGATATGAGTTATGGCAGTCAATCACCTTCCTCTGTCATTAAAATAACTAAATCATGCAATTATTATAACAATAAGAAAAAATTATGTCATTTTGGTAGATTTGATTTATATAAAAAATCAAGCACTATATGTTAGATTAGATAAAAACTGCATTAAAACAACCCTTTAACTCAATACCAGGATCATGCTTTTTTGTATATATTACATTAATGTATTTCCATTGCTACATTGATTACTATTTTTTTTTTCCCAATAAGAATGCCCTTTTCAGCTACTTAAAAACCTTTTAAAAAAGTCTTCAGGAATGTTACATGAAAAACAAACTGAAACTTAACATGAAAAATGAAATTTTCAAAAGAAACTTTTTTTAATCTACAGAACATTAGGTACTGCTTAATGTGATCATCTTCAATAAGGATATTCTCATACAAGGAATAACATATATAATTACAACAATAAAACTTTACTTAAAGATGCAGCATTTAATCATATCCTGCATTTTATTTTGCAATGTAAAAATCTTTTCATTTTATATATTTCCATATACACCTTTTCATATTTTAATGTCAACATTACTAGGTTTTTAATGTTGCATCTTAGCCTATTTATTTGATATGAATTATATTTTATTCAGTAACTTTCCTTATGTACATTATTTATTTAGTTTATTCTAGTTTTTATGTATTTTATAAATAATGGTTCTCAAAAGTAGAGATGATGGCTAAACATTCCCGACTGGCCATGATTTAGAAATTCTAATAATGATTTACAATAAGCAGTACCTTTTAAACTAGTCACTATTTTCAAATCACAGATTTTTTTTTTAAAATCTTTCAATACAATGTTCTAACAATCAGAAATTTGATTCCTTTACAAAAAAAATAGATATATTATACACAAATCACAATAACAAAAGCATTTTTATTTACTTTCATAAAAGATAATTTATGAAATTATATAACAAAGGTACTTTTCATAAACTTTCTATATACAAGCCAGTTTCTCTACTAATGATATCTAAAGACACAACAAAATTACAGATCTTAAGCCCAAATATTTAAAAAATTTGCAAAACAAAAAGGGGGGTTTTTATCTTTCCCACTCACAATTTAGGTTTACTTTTGATTTAAATTTGTATGCTTAATATTTTTTAAGTGAGAACTGTCTTACAATGGAATTTCACATATATATTATGGATGGGACATCTAAATCTTATGAATGATTTTTTTAAAAAGGTTTTTTTTTTTTTTTTTTTTTTTTTTTTTTTTTTTTTTTTTTTTTGCCATTTTAGTGTCTTAGATCACCAATATCACTTCACAGAAGCCTTAGTACCATACTCTTAGTTTATAGGTGACAATTTAGCATTTATTTAACTCTTGAAATAATCCTGCCCCTTCTAAACATGCTTTAATTTAAAATGTTTCTGGAAATATATAAGAAATTAGCTATAACTTGAAATTATATGTCATTATAATGAGTTGCATTAGATTGGATTATTGTAATTTGGCACAAAACCTGTCAAGGTTATCTGCGCCAGACAAATGGTAACAATGCAATTAGTCATTTGTAAAAACTTCCAGCTTAGTCATTATAGTGAAAAAATGTACTTTAAAACTTCAAACTATATAGTTTTTTTTAAATTTCATTTACATTGGTATATTTTTAAAAACTGCATTCTTAAATGTGCTTTCATTCATTTGCACAGCAAAATTTTGCAGCAGTTCCAATAGTCTGATAAAATCAACATATATGTCATTTAGCATGGGTAAACTGCTCTGTTCATCTAAAAAATTTGAATAATAATTTAATTTTCTACATGTAAAAGCCACAAAACAACTAGAAAAGTACACAGTACATAAAACCTGAGAGCATCATAATGATGCAGTAAGTTATAATAGAAATCACTGTTTGAAATGGATATATAACAAAGCATTTAGCACCATTTACAAGATAACTGATCAACAATAAATTCCCAGAAAAGAAAATGTGCATACCATAAAGAAGGCATCCATGGCATACGTTACATTTTAATTTTTAGGATTGTGCATCTCTTGTAAACATAAAGCAGTCAGAATATTCACACAGTTATTTAACTGAGATATCAAAGTTACTTTGCATAGACTCTTAAATGTAAATGCAGATGAATTTCTATCATCTAATGATATATATGCAGCTCTGTATGTTTAAAATAAATCAGAATATTTGTAATCTATGCTGTATGTTACACATGCAATGTCTTATTAGAGTTACCTGCTATAAGGTTTTGATTCTATTACAAAATTTTAGTTTTCAAGGTCAAAAATACCATGCCACTCAATCTTCTTTCCAGATTATTTAATATAATTTAGTATTTTAGAACAATGTTCTAACTAGCTGCATCTATATCAGTCAGCATAGAAATTGGAAAGAACTGCAATACTGAAAAGATTTCTATAGCTAACTAAACTTGTATAGAAAGCCTTTTCATTATAAATGTAACAGTAACAGACAAATGTGAGTAGACCATTTATTCTTTTCTGGCACTAAAAAACCTAAATGAAAGCCATGAGCACTAAATATTTACAATTATAATTTCAGCACCAAAATTTAGTACATAGTACCAAAATTTGGCAATAGCTATGGCTTTAAACAGTCTGTATTAATCACTGGTCAAACTAATCAGTGTGCTAAAGGAGCAAACAAAATGACAACAGATAAAAGTGCTCAAAGCACTGAGGAACTGAATTTACCTTAATGAAAAATGGACAATGGGTATTTTACACTAATGTGAAAGTGCTAAATGAAACATGAAAATGGTGGAATGACAACCCACATATGGGGAAATTGCATATTAAGAATGATTGGAGACTATGACTCCAGGTCGGGACTGCGTGATAGGAGCATTCCTGATGATTTGATGTCGAAAGTTTGAATCTGAACTTGTATGGGAAGATACTGTTTGTTCTTCACACTGGTCTTTACCAGATGAGAGAGTGTTTTCTTCATCACACCATTGGACCGTAGTGGATTCAGATTGACTTAGATCATCTCTAAACATATGATCACCTTCTACATGCCTTATTGCTTCAACTATGGTTTCAAGGTTCTGCCTTGATGTACTTGCTTTGTATGATACTTTTTGAGTAATAATGTCTGTTTCAACTGTGAAAGGTGTTTGTGGTGTACTTAAAGGACCTGATGATATTAATATCCCTGGAATGCTGGCAGCATCAGAAATGGACAGTTCACTCACACATGGAAGTAACACAGAGCTGTTTTTTCCAGAAAGATCTTCTGGAACTTCTGCACTGGAAAGTTCTGGACTTGACTCTCGAAGAGGTAATTCATGAGGACTCTCTTGATTGGAAGTATGAGACTGAGGACTACCAAGCCCATTTTCAAGAGCAATTCTTAAAGCTGATGTAGGTGGTCTTCCACAATCCTGTAAAATTAATGACCATGAATAAGCACATATAACCCTTAAATTAATAATCAGAAGATCAAGACCACGCTTTGAAATAATTTAACTATGGATTGCTCGGTTAAGTTATTTGAATATGACAAAGCCACAAGAGCTAAGCACAAGATATTAGACAAAGGTTTCCTTCGTACAGGACTTTTTGAGGAAAACTAACTCATATCACACTTGGGGTAAACCAACCATGCAGCCAGCTCATTTGCCTGGGATCAAACTCAGATCAGGTCAAACTACCAGTATTCAGAGGTTTTAAAAACTTGGCCACTACTGAGGCTAACTACAGATCGAAAACTTAAATTTTGAAGTGCAGATTGGCAAGTTTTACTGTTTGCTATGGAGGCACTCTTAAAATACAACACATTAATTATTATATTGCCAGCAACATAGTAATATTTATTTATTTTCTCCCAAAAAGCCACATTGGCTATACTGCACCAAATACAAAATATTACTACCATATGGTAATGAAATTTCATGTTTCTAGAAGTATAAATTATATATCTGAGTTAATAAATACAGAAGGAAGACCACAAACATGGTTCTCGTTTTTGTAATCACTTAAAAACCTAAATTTTGAAGCCCAAATTGGCAAGTTTTACTGTTTGCTATGAAGATACTAGCTATACTTGCCAAACACAAAATACTACTTCTATAAGATAATGAAATTAATTCAAATACATAATTTAAGTATAAATTATGAACCTGAATTAGTGGATCCAGGAGGAAGACATGGTGAAAGATCTAATAATTAGTCTTCAAATATTTTGTTTAGACTTTTAATCAAAAATTATTTACATATCAGAACCTGATTATTTATAGTATGAATCCCTATTTTTCTTACATAGAGGGTTTTTTTTTTTTTTTTTTTTTTTTTTTTTTTAATCACAAACTGCAAGATTGATATCAGTTTTCTGCCTTTAAAGTTTAGACTTGAAAAAATTATATTTCCTCCTTAATTGTCCCATTTAATGCAAGACTGTCTGCAAATTATTTTTTCTCCCCTTAAACCTAACTTTATTTAAAATTTTTTATTTTATTTCTTATTTCAGCTTTATCATATGTTCAATCTTCAACTTTCTGAGCATTATGGGTTTCACTCTAAAATTTGAAAGTTCCCAAAAATATTCTGAAAAAATTATACTTTTTTTATCATAATTTCAAAATGACCCCTTTCCACCTTGACTTTTTCCCCTCCCAATATACATCCAACCTGAAATCAGATAGACACGTCTGGAGAAGGCAGAAGGTTTCATGTGTAATGAATGAATTGGAAAATCAGATGTCCTTGGAGGATTAATTAACCTTTTGTATTTGAAGTCTTCTTACAGTTTAATTAGCCACAAATCAATGGCCTTTCTTCACATAAATGCAGGTTTAGTATTACAAAATTACAGTATAATATATATATAAAAAATTAAAACTTAGTATAGGTCTCAATCTGTACTATTGTACATGAACTTGCATTCAGTTTAAGGTTTGCTTCTTTTAGACTACAGTCTGAACTGCCTATCTTATCTTTTCAAACTATACAAGTTTAGTTTTCAAACTATACAAGTAGTATTTCAAACTACAGAGTAAACAAATCTACTTAGCATATACAAATGCTCCTTACCCCTTTCTATGGAATGGAGTTTACATTGTGCAGGAAATAAATTCATGTTTTCCTCAGACACATCACTGGCTGTTATTTTTTCATATATCTTGTTCTGATTTGATTTTTATACCATCTTAACATGAAACTTTAGAGAAACATGCCAATTTCGAGAAGTTCTTCTAGACTCATAAGATTAGCAATCAGGCTGATCTTAAGAAACACAAGTTACGTTCCCTCTGAGGAGACAACTGAGTGTAAAGGCTTAATATTGGCTCTTGCTGTAGCTTTCTCCAAAGTAAATTTCACTTCTTTTTTCAAGTCTAGTTTGCCATTGGGAAAGAATACAGTTAAAATACAGAAAAGAAGAAAAGGACACATATCCAGTCAAAAGTCGTTAATCTGGACTCGTCGGGACTTCGGCGATTCCGGATTATCGATTTTTCCGGATTATACATCATCAGTTTAAAGCTGGTAAGATGGCATGTAGAAATTATAAAACTAAAAATATGAAACCGTAATTTATGAAATAAAGAACAATTATGATCTAAAGGGTATCAAAATTTACAAAACAAAAAGCTTAATATTTATTTGTTTACTTTATTAAACATTTCTTTCAATGTAAGTTGTTTAAGTTGCTTCATTTTATGTGATAATACTTTCTCTTTCATTCTATAAACAGACATAATTTCTTGTTCAGTTACAAAGTTCCGCTGTTCAAGTCCTATAATTGCTGTGTCGAGAATACCGACTAATTTGTCAATCGAAATTTTTTCGTTTTCAATAACCTCTGTGTCACTTTCTTCATTATCGGAAGCGAATTATAATGACGAGGAATTTGATTTAAATCATATCAAAGACGGAGTACATCGAGATGAAATACTACATTTAGTAAGGAATTACAAGCCAAATAAAAACATCTGCCCTGAAGATAAGGATAGTGCTGACAGATCAACTTCTAATTCATTGCGCTCCGCGGCGTCCCCCCCCTCATGATTGTTCATTTAGGACTTGAAATTTACAAAACTCTAAAATTCGCATAACTTCAGATTCCAAGCTGTGCGATTTTATTCAAGTTTCAAGGAATGACAGAACAAGACAAATAATGTTTTCCATCTTAACACATCATGCATAATGAAATATCAGTCCAAGTTCATATGCATACTAATATGGCAATAGTTAAGCTATTACAAGTCGCCATGTTATATCTCTTTCTTGCTTAACATACAATCTATTTTTCATACTATAAAAAAAAAACTTTTGGACTTGGGAATGAGAGAATAAGACTCAGGAGATTATAAAAACACCATACGGGAAGTACAATATGGCTGGACATCACGCTAGAACTACTCTGCTAATAGATGTAATTAATGCTACTATAGTCTAGAACAGGCACTCTGAGGTCAGTTTTTCCCCTTTTTCTGGCTTGTCTCATAAGCAAGGTAATAATAACTTCTATAAGATAATGAAATTAATTCAAATACATAATTTAAGTATAAATTATGAACCTGAATTAGTGGATCCAGGAGGAAGACATGGTGAAAGATCTAATAATAATTAGCTTGACGTAGTTGCAGTTGCCGATGACAGTATTTTTCTTTATTCTTAAGAATTGTCCTTATTGTTGAAGTTGCCAAAATCAATGCAGCACTAATTTGAGGTTGACGTTCATCAGAATCTAATCTTCTAATCACTTGCATTTGAGTTTCCAGTGAAATGCTTTTTCTGGTTGCTTTCTTTTCTTGTTTTTTTATTATCACCCATGATAAAAACTAAAGATCATAATATTTGTCACTGTATTAATCGTTATAGTATTATACAAATTTAAACTTACAATAATGTCAACAAATGTTTCAAATGATAAAAATGCGTCCACAAAGCAAGAAACACAACTACACTGTTTCGGATATGTTATTTGGAAACCTAGCACTGCACACAATTTCAGAGAATCCCCGGGTTGAAATAAAAGAGCGCTAAACCAAAACAGCGCTAAACAAAACAGCGTTAAGCGGGGTCTTACTGTATACTCCAAAAACAAGATGCAAACATGCATTTTCATAGAAAACAGAACTCATGATATTACATACAAGTTCTAAATTAACTGTATTTCATCTTGTAATTATAATAAGGAAAGATCTGACTTTTATAGCAACAAGTGATGTGATTACAGTGTTTTTGAAAGCATCAAGCTGATATGTCAAATCCATTCCAGCCAGAAGACTATAAGAATGATTCATTGGTTTATTTGATTATGGTAAAACATTCAAGGGCCACCTAAAGAGAGCGACGCCTTTGTGGAGGACTTCTTAACAGAAATTGTGTCTTTACCACATTGCATGAGTGGAATATCACAAAAATGCCCATGCAGCAGCCAATTCACCTGAAATCGAAACTAGTAGGCCAGAAGCATAGCAAGGGTTTTCATTTTTCAGTGCCAGGAAACCCTTCCTAACTGAAAATTTCGTGCTCCCTCCTATTTGTCAAAACGCAATGGGACACATGAATTTGGCATCCTCTGAATTGGTTTGCCCAGGACCGTATGTCTTCCCCTTGCCTCTTGGCTATAAAATGGAAAAGAAGCTTATAAACTTCTTTTTTCAATATACTGGAAGTTATTTTGATTTCTTGAGCATGAGAGGTGTTCCCACATTTTTCTCCTTGATTTTCATACACCACCAACTAATTCTTTTAACTGTACGACTCTTCAAATCTCGCCGTGAAATTTATATTTTGGGTAGTTACCTGTAATTAGTGCATCTAAACAGTGCTACACCTTCACAACTCAAGAATTTTATTATATATATATAATATATAGGAAATTAAACAGAAATCTAATTACTTTTAGACTGCATTATAAAGAGTGTGCAAAATTTTAGAACTAAAATATCCCCTCTATTATCAAGCATCATTATTTTTACATTATCGCTTTTTAAATTGCAATTCATAACACACTTAAATGAGAAAAATCCAGAATTACCTCCGGTTCACTATGATACTGTAAAGGAGCTAGGTTAGTTATTTCTTGGGTACCATCATCTCCAAGAAGCTGAGATTCTAAACTTCGACACTGCTCTTGAAGAATTATTCTTAGTTCCCTTTCATGTTCCAGTTGCAGTCTCAATTCAATAAGTTCTCTTTTGGTAGACTCATCAGCACCAGCCTCACTTCTAGGACTCGAACTACCTATTCCTTCATCTGTTGAATCCGCTATGCAGCCTAAAATGATTATAAAATATATTTTATGAATTTTAGCTCTTATTTTATTACAGCATTTAGACTATGTTTTTATAAAAATTATTTACAGTAATTGCCATTTATTCCTGTGTATAATATACATGGGTGTATATCGCACACCTATAATTTCAAACATTTTTTAATCTTTCGAACCAAGGCTTTCGAACATCAGTATACTGAACTGACAAGAGATAATGAGGAACAACGTGTATGAAGGGAAATGCTTGAGGAAGTAAAATTTTGCAAAGGTGGGCTATATTCAATGTAGGTGTGCACAAAAATGTTATTCTAGAGTTTTGAGAAAAGGAGGCATAATTTGGGGTAAGAATGCACTTTCAACCTAAATCAACTAGCAGAATTAGGAGTAAGATGTTTTCTCTTTCTGTAGTCATTTGAAGCTCAGACTTTGAAGTGAACATTAAAGGCTTTCGTAAATCGCATTTGCTTTAGGTGAAGTACAGTTGACTTAGTGTTCCTTTAAGTAGTATAAAATGGGTGCTGGGGAAGAACCACAGTTCTGGTTTCAAATGCAAAGTCATTTAATTTGCAAATGGAAAGCATGCTACAGCAAGAATGTTTGTTGTTGGTGAAAGCTCCATAATTAAATCACAATAATTAATATGTCAAAGAATAAATGTGCTTTGAGTAAAGAATAATGAAATGGATTATCCTAGAAGAAAATGTTGCAAAATGGGTCCTAGAAGATCACAAAATGGATTTAATTCCAACAAGATACATTGTATGTTTATTTGCCTTAAAGTATGCAAAAAAGAATGCAAATGAAACTGAAAACTTTAAACCAACTTTTGAGTGGTGTAGTCAATTTATTTCCCGGATTAATTTAGTTCTATGAGGAAAAAATAAAAGTTTCACAAAAACTTCTAAAAGATTGGGACAACAAACTGATAAGTTTCCAGAAGTATGTTGGACACTTGCGAAGGCAACAAAATTCTTTATTGTCACATATTGGAAACACGGATGAAACTCCAGTGCTGTTTCATTTGATAGAAAATGAAACAATATGAAAGGAACAAAAACTGTTCACATAAAAACTATAGGTCACAAAAACTCTCACCTCATTGTGGCACTTTCCTTCTTAGCAAAAACTACAAAATTAAAAACTACAGTAATTTTTAAAAGAAAGAAGATGCTAAAATGTAATTTCTGAAATGGTGTTTTCATTCAGATTCATGAGAAAGGATGGATGGACAAATACGGTGTGAAATTCTGAATAAAAATTTTTAAGCAAAAGTGTCCTGTTGCCCTAAAGAATCCAGAAAGTGTTTTAGTTTGAGACGTGTTTAGATCCCATCTAATGGATAATATGAAAAAAAGTCGAAAGAGTGTAATACAGAAATGGTACTTATTCCAGTTGGATTAACGCCATTAGTTTAACCCTTAGATGTGTGTATCAATAATACATTTAAAGAAAATTTAAAATGTAAAAACTTAAAATTCAGTGGGCTACGTGGATGTTAGAAAATTAAAACATTTACAAAAGGATATCAAATGTGTCATACCAGTCTAGAAATAGTGTGTGAGTAGATAATAAAAAAGCATTGAATGAAATTAAACCCAACATAATTCAAAAGTCACTTTAAAAATGTACTGTATTTAACAATCTAGATGGAACAGAAAATTACTTGTATTATTTACTCATGGATATGAGTAAAGATGATGGTCAACATGAAACAGAATTCGATATGTGCCTGAAGATATAATGGAAGATGAATATGAACAACTTTTCATGTTATCTGATAATGAAAACTTTTAAGTTCATAAGATATGTCATTTCTTTTAAATTAGTACAGCATTTAGGTGCATGTAAACACCTAATTTCTGTATGCTCCTCTTTATTTTTAAATCTATCATTTTTATATCTGCCACACAACGTGCACCAATTAGTGTCAATTATATTTTTTGCATTAAAAGTGTGTGTTATACGTCAGAATATACAGTATATGCTATTGGACATGAAACCTGAACATAGAAAATGTAAATAAAGTAAACACAAATAAATTATAAAAAGAAACTTATTTGATCCCATTATTAATCTTAGTTAAAATTAAAGTTGTAAACTTGAAAATGATCAGGTGCTGTGAAATTTAAATCTGTAAACTTGAGAGTTATCAGGTGTTAATCACATTTAAAATGCATTTACATGAAAGTGAGAAGTGCAAGTGGTGAACACACTTGATAAAGCAGGCCAAAGTTGGACATCTATGAATATTCACCAAACTATAGTTTGAAGAATTTGGAATTGCTTTCTTAACAACTATAAGAACACATGTTCATAATAACATAAAGGTACACATGCGGTCATTTTGACCATGTATGCATTTTTAATGTTCTTTTATCCATTTTATTATTTAAAAACATCGTAAGGCAATAAAAAATTAAAGAACATTCAAATTAACAAAAAGATTATTACACATGACTGATAATAAATTTATTACAGTTTTTAATCTTTTACAAAACTTATTGTTAACAAACATTGACATATTATGTAAAGTTCACAAACTCTCTCAGTTCCTTTGCTCAACCAGTGTTGCCAAACTCAGAACGTAAAAATGCCCATTGGTCAATTTGACCGATCGTTAAGACAACTGTTTCCATGCTTAACACCTACTTTAAGTTAAGTACGAAAACAGTTGACCTAACATTTGAGGCTGCCTTAACGTAATAACTTAAGTGCCACTGCTGGCACGAAAATAACATTATAAACTCTAGTTGTTGAAGTTACACAAGCCAACCTCAGATGGCTTGAGATTCTCAACAGCCATTTAGTTATTCAAGTAAATAGACTTTTATTATAGACTTTTTATTACTTAGAAAACAGTTTCTAAGCAAGAAGCCCACTATATTCAGTCCTGCTTTTTGCATCTTCTAGAATAAAGTATTAAAGATGGTGTTGCCCTGCTTGGATCAGGGAAGCCAAGCCCAGCTAGACCCAAGTACTCGTCACATTATCAGTCCACTTTAATATTGATGTTGGATGTATTTTCATCTGAAAGATAGCTTGCAACATGCAGCTGCATATTCATGATGCTGTTTTCACGGTAAAGGTTTGCTTGTTTGGAAAGGAATTAGGAAATATAGTGGCAACTCTTCACTGAAGAAATGTAATTGTTAAAAAAATAATACATTTAATGAAGTATAAGGAAAAGTTTCTTGAATAACTTGAATGACTATTCAGTAATCTTTCTTATTTCATTGATCTCAGTTACAAACCTAGTCAAAAATGTTATTCAGTAATAGCACATGCAGTTTCTAAAAGAAATTCCAGGATTTGGGAAAAAAATTTAATATAAAATGCATTTATCAGTTTATAACAAGACATTACTCAATTCTGAGTAAAGAGTCTAGCAATCAATAGCTCTTTGCTAGTCATTCTATGTTTCAAAGTATGCTAAAGAAAAATACAGATGTTTCAGATACTGCTTGATCACTGATTGCCATGACCCCGAAAGCTAAGAAAAATACACATCTAAGGAGTGACCTGTAATCCAAAAACACATTTAAATGTTCTATATCCTTATTCAGTTACATTTCTCCAGAGGCACATGCAGCTCAGCTCATTGTCACAACTACTGTGGAATGAGAGTACTGAGGAGGGTTTAGTTATGACATTTCACTATATTACAGGCTTTTGCCACTTGTGCAATTTGAAACTTATATGCTGGTCGTGGTCTTTTATGGTGACTTTCATATACATAAGCATGATTGTATTACTAATTATTTCAATCATTAAATCAAAAATTTTTTATTTCTGTGCATAAATTTAAGTCTGTTAAAGGGACATTCATAACTTTTAAATATTTTCTGTACCTGACTTTCCAGAATTAAAAATTAAATAAATAAATAAAAATACTCAAAATCAGAATATAAAGCACTTTAGAAAGCTTAATTATATTATTATAATAACATTCACATATTTATAAATATTAAATGCATATTAAATGCATATTTAATAAAGCTGAAGATGCTTTGCCATTAGTTTTAGCTTTTTACTATGCTGAGATTTAGCATACAAATCACGAAATATATTGGCAGCATCGATCTACAAATAGACAGCAATGTTCAATAAGAAATAATTACTTGGGAATTAAAGACAGTTTTTTAATTATCAGAACACAATACTATGCGTTCAACTGTTCAAAACTTTACTCCAAAATATTCACGTCATTTAAACTTTCTGAAAGAACACTAGCTTAATATCAGCACACTTTAAAATGATCCAAAATTGCTTAAAATTTTTAGAACACCTGAATTTAGAGGAATGCACTTATTCATTTGAATGTTAGCTATCAAATCAAGACCACTAATCAAGATGAGAACTGATAATAACTTTGAAACACTATTATTATCGGACAACTGTAAAAAATGGAAGAACATAATATAAAACATTTGTGACAAACCTGTGTCTCTTTTTTTCCTTTTAGGCAAAGGTGAATCTGAACAGCTGCCATCACTATCTTGATTACTTTGAGAATTAATCATTCTTCTTTTAAGCTGGCAGTTTTGTTCTAAAAGTCTAGCCTTTTCTTGTTCTAACTGAAATATGTAATCAGCTGTGCTTTGTAGAATAGCAGCCTAAAATAAATAAAAAGGCATATTTTTTTTTTCTTCTTACATATCAGAGAACAAGTTACATTGGAATGAGAAAACAGCAACAATAAAAGCATACAATATATACCGTATTCCCCCCCACAACCTTCTTAGCACAACATTCTGAAAACTAATTAAGTATTCATGTAATTTTTCCCTTCAAGATATTCAGAAAGCAAGCTCCCTAAATTTTAAAATGGATTTGTCCACGTAGTGGTTACTTTCTCAATAGTTAGTTCATCAGCGTAATTTTTAGAATGAAAAGAGACTAAATCTACCCTTTCAAGAGTCTGAAGTCTGCATAAGATTTACTTTACAATGTTTCATTACTTTATTTCATCTAAATATATTAATCTAAGGTAGATTCATCTAATGAAATATATATTAATATAAATACTTGAATTATTAAATTTAATCAGTACTAATAATACGTGCTAAATTACTGTTTAAAATTTTGTTAAAATAATTAATACTTAAATATTTTTATTATAATTATTATATTTTTTTATTATTTTTATAATATTATAGCAAAATATTTTAAAATGAAACTAATCCATAAAGTAAATTATGCATTTTACACATTTATATATTTTTTATATTTATAAGTTATGCATTTTATATATTTTAAAAAATCAAATTTCCAAAATCAATGCAAATCACATGTTAGCAATTAGTTCACTGCTGAAATATGACTTTATTTATTATTTTTGAAGTAAGGATGAATTTATTTGAATTAATATGCTGACATTATATGAAACATTTTACCGCATACAGAGCAAAAAGTACCATTTTCGCAAAGCTATGATTGTCCGTGAAGATGTATACACGGATAAAAATAAGGAGATTTTAAGAATTCTGAGAAAACGCCCAATCATCTAATGAATGTTAAAAGAATGTAATGTGAATGTTAAAGATGATGCATATCCATGCATTTTTAACGTCTGTCCAACATATATGACGGAAAACTCACCAACAGTCAGAAGAAGCAGAATGGAATGATTAATGACACTTTGTAGAGACATTAGGTTATTTTGAGGCCGGAGAGATAAAAAATTAGCAACACCTTCGCCGGTAATTGAACCACAGACCTCTGGAATACCTAATGGCTTTAATAAATTACTAATAAATGTTGACATCAAAATTAGAGAAACTGTGAACAAAAGTACGAAATTCATTACCTATAAAAATTCTGAACTGTTTGTTATGTTTTTACGTTTTCCCCATGCATTAAAAAATGCTTGGTTTAATCCTAGTATTATGGTACACTCGGGATTTGGCGACATTGACATGACAAACGTTTTCGTGAGCCCGATAAATATTTTTTTGTAAATATAATCTTGTGAACATTCTTCGTAATTCTAGTCAGTTGAAATAATTCTTCTAGGTTCTATTAAATTAAAAAAGATTCTATTAAATTATCAGATATAAATCAGATTATAAATTATCAAATTTAGGTAAAAAGATTCTATTAAATTATCAGAAGAACCGTTTAAAGGTTTAATGCAATCGTATAAATCGCTGAAACGTTACACTGAATTGCTGTTCGACATTCCATTTATATTATTTACTAGATGATTATATAAACGAACATCTGAGCTCGAGGCTTGCATGCTTTGGCTAGCCGCCAAATTTGAACAAGTTAGTAACTGTGCAATAATTTGACTCCATCTTATTTTCAGGAATATTTTCTTCACACTTTTGTAATTCACCGCTCGAATTAAATACTGGAGAGCTTCAATACAGAAAGAGAATGATGTACAAAAATATAATGATGGCAGTTTATTTTGAATTGAGAAATCATCGTGGTAATGCCGAATTTCTGCTTATTTTGTTTGTGAATATCTGCTTGCAACGTGCTAAAATGGTCCATACAGTGAAATAGTGTTGTTCTATATTGGTGTTTTATGAGTTTCCGGCGATTAAAATTATATGGTGGTTTCTCCAATCTCCAGTGGCTCCAGCAGTACAATATTTGGACACACAGATTATCGTTATATTTGGATACACGGATTCGGTTATAACATCCTAAATGCTATATCGTATATCACTCATATTAATCGATTATTGTGATTATGATACAGGTTGGCACTCAGACTTTGGACATATGATCGAAAAAATAGTGTTCAGGAAACATTAGCATTACTATTATGAAAATACATATTGAATCTATAATTATGCCATACTTAATTGTGTAATATTAAAAAACACTAAATATTTTTTATTGATTGCAAATTGCAGTTTTATTACTTGTCGTTAGGTGTCTATTCTTCCAAACACTGTGTAATTTGCGTTTTTTTTTAAATATTGCCGTTATGTACGTCTATTAGATTATCTCAATGAATGTTGGAAAATAGGTTTTGTTCTTTATTAAATTTAAATATATTAAGTGAGTCATTTAAGTATATTATATTCATAATTTAAGTATATTCATTAAGTATATTCTTCGCTTACATTTGATATGCTTGTGATAACAAAGATATTCATAATAAATAAAAACAAAAAGTTTCATCGTGTGCTATTTAACGAAGAGCTTACTTTAACGTACTTAGCTCGCTATCGTATACTATACTATTTAAATTATTTCTGTACAGTATCAAAAGGAAAGTTATTGATTATAAAAAGTGCATGAAATGATCATTGTAATCTACCACTATTCTTAAAATGTAGAAACTAAAAATAATTAAATGCATTTACATATGATTGAAAAAATAGTGTTAAGAGACATCAGCATTACTAGTAAATACTGCAATCCATAATTATTGCACTTTTAATTGCTTACTATTTAAAAAAGGCAAATAATTTTTTATTAATTGGAAATTTTAGTTCTGTTACCTTCCTTCTGCTATTTATACTTTCAAAACTTTCAAACCCTGCTAGTTCATGTTTTTTCTCTTAAAAGTGCTGTCATGTATGTTGTTTGCTAGGTTATTATTTCATTTTAGATATGAATATGGGAAGTTATTAGATTTAGGTATATTTTTGATCACATTTATTAACTACTTTATACTGTCTTTCATTTGCATATCTTGGAGATATAGAATTTAAATTTATTATGGTTATATTTTTTACTGTGAAACGGGAATAAATTTATACTTGAGTTCAGGTAAAATACTGATTATGTTACCTTAAGAACCTTTCTAATTTATCATAACAGGGGCAATTTTCAATGTCTCTGAGATTTAACAGAAATAAAATGTGATAATGCTGTTATTAGAAACATTTTTTTTTTTTTTTTTAAACCCACTACAGCTTTACTTTTATTTATGTCTGATTGAGTTTTATTTACTTAAAACCTACTATTACTGTTATATATTTATAATAACCTTTTTCATAATTACTCTCACATACTGAATTAAGGGAAAAAAAATTATGAAATCTTAAATAATCGTAACTTGGAATTTAAGTTATTTAAAAATACTGAAAATAATTAAGGCTATTATTAATTATGCATATTTATTCTAAAGGAAAAAATTGTTATATCTTCTGGTTTTCAGGAAATGATAAAATATTAAAAATGATAAATATGATAAAATATAGAAATATACAAGGAAGACAAAATTTTAAAAAAGAAGAAAAACATATTAATTATTAAGCTTATTTTTCTGCATAAATCAACATGTAACACAAGGACATAACGACGTTTTCACAACTGTTGCAAAAAGGTCGAATTCTGCGAACATTTAGGCGTCGTTAAGACGTGATACGATGCTTTCACAACCGAATTATAAACCTGAGGAAGACGTAATAACGACGTCTGTGCGACAAAAAAACTTCATCTGCAAAGACGTAATAAAGACGTCTTTTTAACGGTTGCAAAACAGTGGAGTTTCGCGGACTGGGCGTCTTAAAGACATATTGCAACGTTTTTGCAACGACATCCGCCACGAGTTTGCCACGTCGTTGCGGCGTTGCCGTGCTACTTGGGTAAAGTAAATAGTAAAAGGGTTAATCAATGACGTAATGCAAAAGACTGTCAAATTGCTAATTTTAAGATATGATTTCTTAAAAAATGAATTATCTGGAAATAGAATTGATTTGGAAAGTATTCATAGTTTTTCGTTCGATGTAATGTAAATATAAGCATTTTGCAATATGAAGTTCTACATGAAGGCAATTTTTCAAAGCTTTTAGCAATCCTTGCCCCGATAAATCACCATTACTGGAGATGGGCATCAGCTATCAAATTAAATTGGAACTCATAAGTATTTTACGAGTGACTTTCTTAAATAATATCCATATTAATGCATTTATTTTTCTTATACATGCTACCAATTTTACACAGAATGAAAATAAAATAACTGACTGACTTTAAGCCTTTCTTTTCCGTTTCTTTTCCGATCGATCAGATTCACTTATAGGAAATCATGTGGCAATTATGTTTTCCAGAGAAATATTTTTTGTGGAAAACTATTTACTAAAGACTGGATTATCTAAATTATAGCAAGGGCTCTCTGCTAAGAGAATGGATGCTTTCATGAAGTTCATTTCAATGGAAACTGGCACATATTCATGTTGCACACAGAGAAAACTACGAAAACTTCTACGCAGCCAATCCGTTCGACGGGACTGGGATCTAAATCAAATGACAAGTGTTTAGCGATTTTATCACTCGGCTACTGGAAGGCAACTATTTACTAAGAAAAAATGGTTCATATGAAGATAATTACATTGCACATTCGAAAATAAAGGCGAAAAAATCGTAGACGCCCTTTAACATTTATAAATACATTGCTAAATTCTTCAAATACTAAAAATTAATTTTTGAAGCACAGCTTTGGAAAAAAATACTAAACCAAAGGCAAATGTTAATAACTATATAAAAAAGGGGGCAAGATTCATCCCCTTAAAGTATTTTAAAAAACTGTCTTCCCCGACTTTTGCGAAAATGTTGGGTTTTCCGTCCTCAACCTTTTTTTATTTTTTATTATGATTATTTTTTTATTATTATTTAAAAGGAACGGGCATTTTAACAACAACGCTACTCACAAAACTGCGACACAAAAGA